CATTTCATTTCTGGCTTCTATTTCATTACCTATCCTCCTCCCATTAACTCTCTGCTTCTTAGCTGCATGTTCTCATCTGCCTGCCCAATCTGTCTCATACCCCTCTCCCCCAAATACAGGAGGGATAAAAGCCTGTCCTGGCTCACCTGCTCTCTAGTGGCAAGTTACAGTTGTAGCTCCTAGTCGGTCCCCTGCTTCTCAGTTCTCTAGTGGCAAGTCACAGCTTTGCAGGTGGGGGACAGTCCGAGAAGGTTTTTACCCTTAAGGTGCCCTTGAGCTAGCACAAACACCAATCAGTATTTGAGCAGCTCAAAGTACAATGTGTAACAAGGCCCTAAAATGACAGTGCAGTTTTATAGAATAAGGATTCCTTATCTTTCATGACACCTGACCCCTTCTAAAATGGGGAGTTTATAAGGCCAGAGGAGCAACATGGGACTCTGCACAGGTGCAGAGAAGACTCCTACACAAAACTGAAAATATTTATACTCTGGCAAGAACACTGCAGAATATCTTCAGCAAAACCAAAACTAGGGAAATAAATAAAGGTGGTTTTCCAACCTAAGCAATTGTAGATTTTGATTGTGCCTTGGAAATAGAATGGCCTTAGAACAATGATTCACTGGCTGTTTAAGATCATACAGTGTGTGTTCTACAGACTTAAAGGGCCCATTTTCTCCAGTGGACACTTAAATGCACCTGCAAAATTTATGAACAAAGAAATGCTTATTTGCAAGCACAAATGGAAACTTGTATATAATTTTTTTTTTTAAAGTGAACATGTAATTACTGTTGGCATATATGTTTGAATAATGTGTGGCATTTGGGGGGGTTGTTTGTTTGGTTTTTTTTAAATCGTGGCCCCAAACTTGGAAATATATGCATTTTCTTAAACACAATTTTCTAGAATCTCTTGTATTACTTATTACCATATCGTGTATTTGGGAGTGTAATTCATTTGAAGGCAGTGATAGTTCTCTAATCACACACAAGGTTTTAAATATTTTAAAAGAAACATGGGAGTTATCTGTTCTTATTTAGCTGTGTGTTTCAAATTGGTGCAAGGGAAGTATAGAATCATGATCTCATAATTATGAAAACAGCAGACTTCAAAATATTGTATTAAAGGATGTAGGTTTACATCTTCAGAATAACCATGTAGTTAGCCTTTTAATTTTTTTTTACTTGGGTAGTCACAGGAGCTTTCTATTACTTTTGTGCCACAGGTTAAAGATTAATTAACTGTTCTAAATTCAAGGGATGTAATATTAAAAAAACAAACACACCTGGTGTTCTGTTAATACACCAGCATCCACGTATCCTCCTAGTGGCCAAATGAAATAGCTTGGAGCTATTAGCCAGGGGGAGTTGTCAGCTTTCTAGATGCTGTATATTGCAACTGTGGTGCAAAGCAGCCTAAGTAGACCCATCACAACTACAATAGCAGCTAATGCCTGTGGGAAATGAATACATCTAAATTATATAATCAGTTTAAATTAGCATGTAAGTATGCATCTAGTAAGAGCTGGATTTAGAACAAGATGGTTTCTGGAACTCAATGTTCTTTGACTCATTGTTTGGAGTCAAGGATTGTATCAGAGAAGATGAACCATTTTGTTCAAAGGCAGGCAGCTGTGCATGAAAGTTGTCAAGGAGAGGAGAGATTTTAAGTAATGTTGACTGGAAAGCAAAAAATTGCATTCTGTGAAGTATTTTGAGGTTGCAGCATATGGATTCATTTCACATTGGATCTGGTGAACAAACCCAGGCCCCCAAAGTCCATAGTTTGGTCTCCCATAACCTACGCCTGATCTGTAGTCTGTCATATCCTGTGTGTGTACCCTAGCCACTGCTCTGGAGTGGGCATCCCATTCCAAGATATGTCTCTGTTTTGGACTGAAGACTTTTCTGATGAAAATTTTAATTAAAACTGATGCACTTCCTTAAGAAAATGTCCCAGTGAATCAGAATCTTTCAATGAGAAAATCAATTGTCAATTTCCAGCAGAAAGCAGGGTAGATTTGCACCTTATAATTTACATACAGCACAAGTTTTCATGGGCTAAAGCTTACTGCATCAGGTATTGTGAAAGGATGTTCAAAAAACAGTGTATAAGAAGGAGAGGATTTGAAAGGCAGAAAGTGGGGGAGAAGAGAGGGAAGGGGGAAGTGCTGGGAGAGGCAAACAAGCAAGCAATAAACCCATAGGAACAAAGGAGTCACAGAAGCTGGTCCAGGGAATGAGATAAGAATCCACAGTCCCTGTTTAAACCATACTTAACACGATCCAGTCTGTGGATGATTGTGTGTTCTGCAGTTTCCTGTTCAGTTCAGTTTTTAAAGATTTGCTGCAGTTCTAATTTTCTGGCAGTTCTAGCTGCCAGAGGTGAGATGGATATTCTCTGATATTAAGGATGACTTCTATAAGGTATACACAGACTTACTAATTTTAGATATGAGACAAGAGTAGATTCAAAAGCAGCTTCATGATGAAGTCCTGTGTAAATGTCATTCCTACTGTACACTGATTATAGGCTCTATCTATATCTGTCATTGGGTACTCAACTTCTGAAAAACTTGACCAATCCTTCAACCCCCAGCCTTCTGTCTCTTCTCTTTCCTTCACAGCCTATTGGGAAGCTGTGTACCTGAGACTTCCTCCAACTCTCTGCCCTTCCAAGTATCTTCTGGCTTTGAGGAAGATGGAAAGAGATTTTGTTTTTTCTTTCCCTAGCTTCTGCTTTCTTGGTTGCTTGATATCCCAGTGAATTGTAATGACAGCCACTGCTTCTCATAACCTCCCTTATGCAGTGTAGAATTGAGGTGAGTCTTCAGTGTTTCACTGCTCACAGGATTATGCTACTTTGCCAAGCCATGAGGAACAGGAGACTCATGGAAACAATGCCATCCGTTTACATTTTGAAGGTTTTCTTTGCAATTCTGAAGGCTTTGAAATTCCACTTTTCAGATGAAGTTTACATTTTGCAGTAAGAGATTATTTA